CTACAGAGCTGGGACTAAGGTCCTGTCACCTACCATGAGATGCAGAGAGGCAGAAGGTGAAATGAATGGCAAATACCAATACTACAGAATGAAAGCAGCAGCAGGCAGGAAGGGAAAAGAGACAAGATCAGAGTTAAGTGACAACACAGATCACAAGTAGTTTACACAAAGCCAAGACAAACACACTCCCAAACAAACAGAAACTGGATTTGTACAGGGCACAGGGAACTCCACCTTGTCTTGTTCCTTGACTGGGGATAAATCATTCCCTGGGAGGTGCTGAGGCACTGGCACAGGTTGCCCAGAGCAGCTGTGGCTGCTCCATCCCTGAGAGTGTTCCAGGCCAGGCTGGACAGGACTTGGAGCCACCTGGGCTGGTGGAAGGTGTCCCTGCCCATGGCAGGGGGTGGATTTGGATGGTCTTTAAGGTCCTTCCAACCCAAACCATTCCATGATTCTGGGATCGCCATTCACAAGGACAACAGCAACCAAAAGGCTTTGGGCATGAAAAGAACCAGTCAGGCTCCTTGGAGGTTTTGCCCCACTTTGAGTCTAAAAGAATTAACACATTCTTTGGGTTTTCTTACTTAAAATTCTGTTTTCCTCTTGGAAAACTACAGATTGGGCAATTCACATCACTCCAGGGACAAGGTGGAAGTTCCTTTGGCTCAGCTGGGGTTGGACACTTGGCAGAGAATTAACAAACATGCAGAAAGGTTTGGCTGTTTGGGGGGTTCCAGGAGTTTCAGTAAAGCCAGGAGAGAACAGCTGGAGAGGGGATGGAGGGAGGGGATCCAGCTGTTACCAGCCTGAGGTGCTGCCACTGCCTGGGTGAGGTGACAGAGATGTCACCTGCACTCATTAGCCCCAGACTGGGCACAGTTATTGCCTGAGGCTCTGTTATTAAAGGCAAACTCAAACTGTTACAAAAAGACAAACTTCTGAGTTCATATTTGTACACAAATTCTCCATCTTCAGCTCCATCTGATGGAATTAAAGGTGCCCAAAGCTCTTCCCATTATACTGCTTCCTATTTCAGAGCAGTGTAGTCCCCACACTGCCACCGTCCTGAGGCTACAAAAGCGTCAGAATCCCAAAGAATTACGCCAACTCCTTAAGCAATTGTGGTGCTTAAGGAGCCGAATCCCTAGAAGAGGATTCCCCACGGCACAGAGGAGCAGCTGAGGCTGACCCAGCCCCTCCACACGGTCAAAGAGAGGGAAAAACAGATTTTGTATTGCGGTTTTTACATTAAAAACTAATCAATTCGACGTGTTTCAGCTCTGCAGCTCCGTGTTGCCCCTCGGCTCTGGGCTCAGCTGGGCTGGTAACGCGGAACCGGTGGGAGAGAG